ATATATGCATATCATTATAACACCATAATATTGTTATAACCGTGCTACCGAACGCACTAGATTCTAGCGTATTCTAGAATGTTCTAGTGACTGGAGCATTCTAGAGTATGCTAGAATCGGACCAGCTAGAAGAATCTAGAAACGACGCTTGCGAAGAGTATAAAAGCGCACGTCGCAAGAGGATTAGTGAAATTCGAGATTAGTGAAATTCGTGACTCTGTGATTTCGTGAATAGCGATTCGGTGAATTATTTAAAGCGATATTTGATTTGTTTGTTGACGTTGTCATAGCGATAGATTTTAAACAATTTAAAAGTTAATTGTTGCGTTAATTTGAATTTGCTAGAAATAAACGATTAGTTGATTTCTTCTGTAAATAAAGTTTAATAACTAATAACTGTTTGGAGTATTTTATTCAATCGAAGATTTGAACCCGTCGCATCGTAAATCGGTTACGACAGCGAGTATTATAACAATATGTTACGTAAGACGTGAATTCAGACCAAACACTGTAGAAGCCACGAGACAAAACAAAGCAGGTAAAAGATCCTGGCGGCCAAATGTGCGTCCAAACAGCAATTAATTATTCAGAGGTATCCGTATTGTTCTTGGGGTGTGGAGCGCATTTGAGTGACATGACGCTAGATCTGCTAGCATCGCTACTGCTGCTGTTTGTGTTGCTGCCACTACCAGCGCTGCTAGCACCGCTATCACTGCTACTACGGCTACTATCACGGCTGCTACTACTGTTACTATTTTTCTATAGTTCTCGCTACTGATACAATAGATACCACAATAAAAAAACTAAAGAACTAGTAACATTACTGTTTGCACTACTACTATTTTAAGTAATCTCTTCAACTTTTATTTCTTGTTATGATTATTGATATTTATGAAACAATTTTTACATAATATTCTTCTCAAAATATGAGTTTCCATTCAAATAATACTGATACTTCAACTACCACAGTTACAAATGATAATAATCTTTATGTCACAACTGTTAAAATACTAAAAATATTCAACTACCGCTTTCACAAGTGTAACTAATACTCTCACAACTACTGCAAAAACTAGTTGTAATTCTTCAGCTAGCATTGGTACTAGTGTGGCAAAAAGGTTGTGCAATTATTCACAATACGGATTTTTTTTTGGCAATTTCTGTTGTCCTCTATATTCGAGGAAATTTTTTTCTCTGCTGCAAAAATAATGAATGCCTGACGTTGCGTTTCTAATACTTTTCGTGAAATATTGATGACCATGATGAGAAAGAAATAAATGCGTCATGAATAATGTCCTGTTGTTGTCGAAGCAACTGTTACTGGTTTGTTGTAACTTGGGTTGTTGTTGGCGTTGCAGTTCGTTCTAATTTGGTTGTAGTTGGCGTTGGTGTTTGTTGTAAGACTGGTTGTAATGATTGTTTACTTCATTTTCATTTAAAACATATTTTTACAAAAAAAAAAATTATTGTTTTGATGTTTGGAAGCATTTTTTTCAAAGCTGGTACAAAGGCTGCATATTTATTTTCAACTGCAAAAATACATTCTACAAAATATTTGTAAAAATTATTAAATTCCGATTTTTTCAAAAAAAAAACGACAATGAACACACACAAAAACATATCAAAAGTCGTGCAACCAACACATAAACATGCGAGTATAAAAGTATTCAGAAACATACAGCCAAGCTCACAAGCCTATAAACATAAAAGCGTGAATTAACAACAATGAAAAATGAATAATGTATGTATATACATTCCCGCAAAACACAAAAAAACGCGAACAAAACAATCGCAACGACAGTCGCGACAGCCGCGACAAAGTTGATACAAAAGGCAAATCACATAAAAAAATGATTGTTTGATTCAATGCAGTTTCCAACTCTCAGCTTTTTGATGCCTGGTTGCCATTTGTAATAATGTACGAATGAATGTAACGCTTGGATTCTGTTTGCTAATTTTTTTATATTGTATTTTTTGTTTATTAATGTTGTTTGAAAAAATATTCGTTGAAATATTTTTTGTATAAAAGTCTGTAGTCAGATGAATGTAAATAGGTTTATGAATTAATGAACTTTTAAAATAGAAATGATAGAAAACATTTTTTTTGGGCTGTAAGATTTAATTTGCTTGTAAAATACTAATAAAAAATCTAAATCAATAAATGAAGTTAAATTTCCACTGTTTATAAAAACGCAAAATTTCAAATTAAGCATCCAAGTACAAAACAGTATCGTTTTAGATTTGATGATTGGTGTACAAAATTGATATAAATTACAAAAACGTAGAACAGAATGTCGTTAAGAGAAAACTTGACCTTGCGTGACAGTTTAAGGAAATCCAGTGTTGCATGAAGGAAGGAAATTGTAAAAGAGGAAAAACTTTGAGGCGAGAGGGTTCAATGGTTGAAGCTCCTGGCCCAGCAGTCGCGGTGTTCCCCGCCCATCCCACGTAATGCAGGTACGTGATGCGTGAACTCGCGCGTTTCCACGAGCAAAAAGCGTCATTTGTTGGTACTTTTGCTAAATAACTAGCAAAGAATTTATTATTTCTATTGAGAACGGACGTAGTGCTTTGGTTAAAATCAAAAAATGCATTTATAATCCAAAAGAGTATGCATGTAGATTGCTTATTTAGCCTAAAGAAGCAAAGTATTTATAAAATTATGGATGGATTGATTAATAGGTGAATAGAAAAATGGATTAATATATGAACTAATAAATTGATGGATTAATGAATTAAAGAAAAGAACGATTGATGGATGGATGGATGAATGAAAAGATGGATGAATGAACGTTTGCA